TACTGCCAGAAGGGACATAGTTTCATCTATGCTGACGATCATGCCATCACCGCCCAAGCAGGGAGATTTGAAATGGTTGAAAAGAAGCTCTCTGAAGCTTTAGGTGCTCTTACTGTCCATTACAGGAAAAACAATTTAATTCCTGATCCATCTAAAATGCAGACATGTGCTTTTCACCTTAAAAACAGATAAGCATCTCAAGCTCTGGGGATGACCTGCGAAGGAATCCCACTGGAGCACTGCAGCACATCCGAATACCTGGGAGTCACTCTGGATGGAGCTCTGACTTACAAGAAGCGCTGCTTGAAGACACAATGACACGTTGCAAACAATTAATGCAAAGGGCAGACAAATAGAAACAGGGAGGGGAGGGTCGCCTGCATCAAACAGGGTGATGTGTGTGGGTTTCGCCCGCTCCTCACTTTGGTAATCATTAGCCGAGTAATTCATTAGGCGCTTTAATCGGGTCAGCGTCTCTCTTCACTGGCCTCCTCTGCCAGCGTCCCCTGTTGACTTCTCCCTCTTCCCTCTTCTTCCCTCCAAACCTTTGCTTCTTCCCAGCCAGGGATTTAGTAAAATTAAACAGATTAGATGGAGCTCCAGATATTTACAACAACAAAAAAAAGGTTCGGCAAAGCTGGTCAATCGGGAAACGCAGGACGAAAACACCCGAGATGTTCGTCACAAAATTGCTTCTAAACACTTTTTGCAAATGAGAGGAATGCAACAAAGATACAAAGCACAGGCGGTGATAATACGGCATTATATCCCGGGGCGCCTTGCTTGAATTGTGCTTTTGGGGGGGAGACGGAACAGAAGAAAAGGAGGCGCTAAAGGATCTCTCTCGGCAACTATAGATTTCGTCTCAGGTTACCGCGGGTAATCAGCGCAGCTTTTAGGCTCAGCTTTCCTCTGCTTCATTGCTTTGATGATAGAGTTGAAATCCCAAAGCTTTTATGATTAATTACTCCCCGTAGGTCCGCATATTTCAAGGGGGAAAAATATGAGCGAGAGAGAGAGAGAAAGGGAAAGGAATAGAGAGAAGGAATGGAGCGGCGAAACGGCAGCCCCGGAAGCAAAAAAGTTCCAAAAGATGGTTTTGACAGCTAGGAAGTGTGTACCCCAATTGTCAAATAATAAAGATCAATAATAATAATAATAATAATAATAATAATAATAATAATAATAATAATAACAATAATAATAATAATAATAAAGATCGAACTGCAAAGACTCTGGCACAAGCCAGTCAAGGTGGTCCCAGTGGTGATCGGCACACTGGGTGCAGTGCCTCAAGACCTTGGCCTGCACTTAAACACAATTGGTGCTGACAAGATTACCATCCTTACTGGGATCTGCACACATTATTCGACACAGTCCTAGACACTTGGGAAGTGTCCGACGTGTGATCCAATACAACAGCCAGCAGAGTGATCTTGTCTGCTGTGGACTCATCTTGTTGTGTTTCAAATAATAATAATAATAATAATAATAATAATAATAATAATAATAATAATGTAAAATAATGAAAATGTAATAATACCAATAATAAAGTAATAAATGTAACTCTATGTAGGGTTGCCTCTGAAGACTGCCCGGAAGCTGCCAATTAGTCCAACGAGCGGCAGCCAGATTACTAACAGGAGCGGGGTACAGGGAGCATACTACTCCTCTGTTGCACCAGCTCCACTGGCTGCCAATTAGCTTCCGAGCACAATTCAAAGTGCTGGTGTTGACCTATAAATCCCTAAACGACTCCGGCCCAGTTTACCTGTCCGAACGGATTCTCCCCTATGAACCATCAAGGTTGTTAAGATCTTCTGGAGGGGCCCTGCTCTCAGTCCCACCATCTTCGCAATCGGCTGGTGGGGACGAGGGACAGGGCCTTCTCGGTGGTGGCCCCTCAGCTCTGGAACTCTTTCCCATTGGAGATTAGAACTGCCCCTTCCCTCCTGACCTTTAGAAAGTTGGTGAAAACCTGGCTTTGGAATCTGGCATTTGATGAGTGAGGCAATGGCTTTTGACCACATGGACGGATGGGGATTAATAGTGATTTTTATGCTAACGACTGTACTTTATATAATTATATGATAGTACTTTAATGAGTTTATATTAGTGTATTATTGATGTGGTGTTTTTAAATCATTGTGTATGAACCCCTTGTTGTAAACCGGCCTGAGTCCCTCGTTGGAGGTGAGAAGACTGGTATATAAAAGTTCTAAACAATAATAATAATAATAATAATAATAATAATAATAATAATAATGGAAATGTAAAAATAACAATAATAGAAAAATGTAATCATAATAATAGAGTCCATACATTTCCCCAGTTTTTTTGTGGTAAAATTAGGTGCCTCGGTTTATATTTGGTTTGGCTTATACTCGAGTATATACGGCACACTCCTATTGACAGTAACGTGTTAATCTTTGGGGCCATTCCTATGTTTTTAAAAGGCATGTTACAAGTCTATCTCCAAGCGACTAGAGGACTATCATACAACAGGTTTACCATCCTAAACAAGACCCAGCCCTTAAAATATCCGATAAAGCTATATTTGCATTGGAGGATGCTTTCAGGAGGGAAGTTATTGTTGTTGCAAGGAGGAAAACGTAAGGCAGGTCGGAAACCGCGAGTGAGAAACCCTTGGGGTGGACAGACTTGAACCTTTTCCCCTTTTGCAAAATGCACCAGCAAGCTTTGGAGGCTTTTCTTTTCTTTAAAGAGAAAGGCGACCGAATGACGGCAGAAGGGTCAGAGACGGAGCAGCGTCCATCTGTTGCAAAAACGAGGCTGAATTTACCGAGACGCCTGGGCTCCTCTTGGCGTCTGAAAGGGCTCGGCAGTCAATCGCTTGCCCTTTGAGACGCTGAAAGGCGGGCTGACCCCAAATGTAACCTCCGCCCGACCCCGTCTTTTGCCCGCTCTTCATTGCGAGGCCCGGCCGCCTTATGAAGCCGTTGACCGTTTCACCTGCAGCTGACCAACCCCGCAGCAAAGACCACGAAAGAGCCGGGTACAGAAAGACGGAAGTTGGCGACTCGAGCTGCTCTTGGCCCAGGTCACAAAGCACCAGCCATTCAAACATACCGCTTTCAAGTATATTGGTCTCCATGTCTTTGCAATAAAGGCTTCTTTAATTCAGTTACCTGACGGAGGCGCAATGCAATTGATGTCGCTCAAACCCATCTCGACCTAATTTGTCGAATAAACTTGGTCCTCGAAAACGATCTGATATTGAGGAAACTATTATATTTATTAGTTATTTATTTACGACCTTTCTATGCCGCCCTTCTCAGAGCAGCCGACAAGGAATATGTAAATACAATGTATTATATTATTAGCATAGCACAATATTAGCATTCTGTACTACTATATCATACTATATTGTTATACCATAATATTATTAGTAATATCACATGTAATATAAAATATATATTATTAGTAGTAGTATTATATTGTATTACATTATAATATTATCAATATTATATATATATATATACACACACACACACACACACACACACACACACACACACACACACACACAATATATTATATTATATTATTATTTACTCCTGTCATTTAAATAATAAAGCCCCCAGTGGGCAATGGATTAAATCCTTGTTGCAGCAGGGCTGCTGACCGAAAGGTTGGCGGTTGGAATCCGGGGAGCAGGGTGAGCTCCCATCTATCAGCTCCAGCTTCCTAAGAGTGGACAAGGGAGAAGCCTCCCACAGGATGGTAAAATATCCGGGCATCCCCTGGGCAACATCCCTGCAGACAGTCAATTATCTCACACCAGTAGGACTGCTGACTGAAAGGTTGGCGGTTCAAATCCAGGGAGTGGGGTGAGCTCCCATCTGTCAGCCCCAGCTTTTCATGCAGGGACATGAGAGAAGCCTCCCACAGGATGGTAAAACATCCGGGCGTCCCCTGGGTGACGTCCTTGAAGACAGTCAATTCCCTCACATCAGAAGGACTGCTGACCAAAAGGTTGGTGGTTCGAATCTGGGTAGTAGGGTGAGCTCTCATCTGTCAGCACCAACTTCCTAAGAGTGGACAAAGGAGAAGCCTTCCACAGGATGGTAAAATATCCGGACATCCCCTGGGCAACATCCCTGCAGACAGTCAATTCTCTCACACTAGAAGGACTTCTGACCGAAAGGTTGGCGGTTTGAATCCAGGGAGTGGGGTGAGCTCCCATCTGTCAGCCCCAGTTTCTCATGCAGAGACATGAGGGAAGCCTCCCACAGGATGGTAACACATCCAGGTGCACCCTGGGTAACGTCCTTGAAGACAGTCAATTCTTTCACACCAGAAGAACTGCTGACCAAGAGGTTGATTGGGTCAAATTCGGGGAGCAGGGTGAGCTCCGATCTGTCAGCTCCAGCTTCCCATGAGGGGACATGAGAGAAGCCTCCCACGGGATGGTAAAATATTCGGGTGTCCCCTGGGCAACGTCCTTGCAGAGTGGAGTGAGTTCCCCTCTGTCTGCTCCAGCTTCTCATTCAGGAGTGGGCTTCCTGTTTTGTGCTCCCAAAGATGCCGGAGGTACCAAAGGAAACAGGATCTGCACACAACCCTACTCTTGACTGCTAAAAAAGTGGACAGAGAACACATTCCCACCAATGGATAGAAGATTTAAGAGTGAAAGAGTGATATAGCAACACATTTTACTTCGATGCTGAGATTTCCAAGCAACGGTTTCTCCTTATTTCCTGTCATGTCCACTCATCACAATAAGCAACTGAGAGCCTGAGGAGGAATGTCTACTTTGCGTACTGCTTTGAATACTCCCTTTACCTTTTGCAACGGAAAAAATGTGACGGTTGCCCAAAAGATGGGTGAGAAGCTCTCCCAGGGTTCAAGAGAGCACGAGGTCAGGGAGACATCAAGGCGAGGGGGAAAAGGCGGAAGGAAGGGTCTGGAGAACGTTTAGAAAAAGATGAGGAAAGACAGCTTTGCGATAGAAGGCAGAAAGCATTGTGATCAGGTACCTTTCTTCTTGAGGAATGATCTTCTCGTTGCGAGCGGACTCTGGCGGACCCGGCTGTTCTGTAGAAACTTCACGGCCGTTGCGATCTATGGGGCAGAGAGGGAAACAGGAGATCTTTAAGGAAAGCGACACGCAGAGTCCAGTTTTTAAAACCCCATGCAAAGCATTAAATAGGAAAGCTTAGCAGCGTAACTTAGCTGAAAGGCCATAGAACCCTTTCTAGTGCGAAGATCCCGGGATTCAGGGATTCTGCTCCTCCCTGAAACTCACTGGGATCAACTTTGGGTTTATATTGTTTCTTAGATGCCTCATATGGTTGTCCTGAAGACAAAAATAGGAAGGAAGGGGACCATATATACGGCCTTCATCTGGTAGAGAGAAAGGCAAGATAGACAGGTGGGTTATAGACTGACGGACAGACATGGACATGGACATGCATACTGCCTTTATTTGATGGAAGGAAAGGCAAGATAGATAGATAGATAGATAGATAGATAGATAGATAGATAGATAGATACACAGACAGACAGACAGACAGACAGACATGGACATTGCTTTCATCTGATGGAGAGAATGGCAAGATAGATAGATAGATAGATAGACAGACAGAGACAGACAGACAGATGTATACTGCCTGGTGGAGAGAGGGGCAAGATAGATAGATGGATGGACGGACGGACAGATAGGCAGGGACATGGACACTGCTTTCATCTGATGAAGGGAATGGCAAGATAGATAGATAGGTAGATAGATAGGTATTCAGACAGACAGACAGACAGATATGGACATGGACATGGCATGGGCATGTATACTGCCTTCTTCTGGTGGAGAAAAAGGAAGACAGACAGACAGATAGATCAATAGATAAGCATGAGCATGGCCATCCATTGGATGCCTTCATCCGATGGAGAGAAAGGCAAGATAGACAGACAGACAGGCAGGCAGACAGATATGGACATGGACATGGACATGGACATGGCATGGGTATGGGCATGTATACTACCTTCATCTGATAGAGAAAAAGGCAAGATCGATAGATAGATAGATAGATAGATAGATAGATAGATAGATAGACAGATAGATATGGACATGGATATGGATATGGGCATGGACATGTGTACTGCGTTCATCTGATGGAGAGAAAGGCAAGATAGATAGATAGATAGATAGATAGATAGATAGATAGATAGATAGATAGATAGATAGACAGACAGACAGACAGACAGACAGACAGACAGACAGATAGATATGGACATGGATATGGACATGGACATGAACATGGCATGGGTATGGGCATGGACATGTGTACTGCCTTCATCTGATGGAGAGAAAGGCAAGATAGATAGATAGATAGATAGATAGATAGATAGATAGATAGATAGATAGACAGGCATGGGCATGTGTACTGCCTTCCTCTGGTGGAGAGAAAGGCAAGATAGATAGACTGACATGGACATGGACATGGGCACGGACATGGATACTGCTTTCATCTGATGGAGAGAAAGGATGGATGGATGGATGGATGGATGGATGGATGAATAGATAGATAGATAGATAGATAGATAGATAGATAGATAGATAGATAGATATGCATGAGCCTGGGAAAGGACATGTATACTGCCTTCATCTGATGGAGAGAAAGGCAAGATAAATAGATGGATGGGTTGGTGGAGGTGGAGGTGGAGATAGACAGACCAGTGGGCATTCCTCCTATTTCCATAACAAGCGCAAGAGCTTCCTTCCAAAATTGTGGACATTGGGATGGCCTCTAAACTTCACCTCTCGCAAACTAACCAAAGCATTATTTTCATTCATGGACTCTGGCCACGTCTTCCATTGCCATTTAGTTTCTTTGAAGAGAGCAGGAAGGTGGTGGTTTGATGGGAACTACGATCTTTTGAACCACCGTATCTTCAAGAAAAGCTGGGAAGATTTATTCTGACGTACAGAGTTTTGAGCGGGGAAAGAGCCCAACCCAAACGTCTGGCCATAACTCAAGCAAGTGCCTGTCATCACCTGGTTCTCAAATATGCATCTCGGGTCAAAGAGCAGCCTTTTGATGGGTTTTAATGGCCCTTTTGATGTAGTGTTGGGTGCATTCCATCAACATTGTATGTGTGCATGTGTACTTCTTTTTCCCCCCTTTCAAATTGCATCTCTTATTTCTTTAAATACATTAATCAGGCGAGTGTAGGCAAAACGGATCCATCGGACAATGCAATAAACATGAATTATCATCTATCCAACATGCATAATGGCTTAAAAAAACATAATAGGAGGTGTAGTTGAAATGATTAGTTATTACACCTGCGGTGGGTCTGATTCAATTGGGGGAAATCATCTTTAATAGGTTAAAAGGTTTAGATCACCCGGCTTCCCCCTTAAAGTGGCTGCAGAGAGGTATGATGGAGTATGCTGTCATTACTAATTCATTTAAGGAAAGCATGGGGGGATACAGCAAAGAACAGCATAAATGAGCCAATCCAATTTAGACACCAGGTAACGCAGAAAAACACCTTTTTAAAGAGCATGATAAATGAATTTGGGAGGGAGGCGAAATTCCCATTTTGACGGGAAATTTGACCAAGTCCCAGCATACTTCAGAGACGAAGGAGAAGCGGTACCGGTACGTATTGGGGGGGACGGCACACCAGGAACCCTCTTTGGAAAGTTTAGCATTCCATCATTGCCGGTCGTAAAATAATATGGAACCCACCCACTTCTCTCCGCGACACATAAAGTGGCACTTTGGTCTTGTTTATACCCCCTCTCGAAGCGTCGCGCTGGAAACGCCAGCGATAGGGAAATTGCACATTTAAGCGGCGTGGGTCTCGCCGCGCCAGATGCAGGAGGATAAACGGCGCAAATTAATAACCGCAGGGGGGAAAATGTGCTGAACCAGAAGAAGGATGTCCGAATAAGCAGGCACAGAGACGTGCCGACATATCAGGAGGTACTTTGCTCTTTAGATGAATCACTTGTTCCTTTTGCAACTCTTCTGATGGGCCTCACTGTTCGGGGGGAAAGACCAGAATGCTTGCTAAGGCCCAAATTCTCAAAAGCTTTCAGATCAGTGATTTTCAGTCTGTGGGTCCCCAGGTGTTTTGGCCTACAACTCCCAGAAATCCCAGCCAGTTTACCAGCTGTTAGGATTTCTGGGAGTTGAAGGTCAAAAACATCTGGGGACCCTAAGGTCACTATATAGATCTAGATGGTCCTTGAGAGCCTCCTAAGGTCACTATATAGATCTAGATAGTCCTTGAGGGCCTCCTAAAGTCATTATATAGATCTAGATGGTCCTTGAGGGCCTTCTAAGGTCACTATATAGATCTAGATCAGTGTTCTCAACCTGTGGGTCCCCAGGTGTTTTGGCCTACAACTCCCAGAAATCCCAGCCAGTTTACCAGCTGTTAGGATTTCTGGGAGTTGAAAGCCAAAACATCTGGGGACCCACAGGTTGAGAACCACTGATCTAGATGGTCACTATATAGATCTAGATGGTCCTTGAGGGGCTCCTAAGGTTATTATACAGATCTAGATGGTCCTTGAGGGCCTCCTAAGATCACTATATAGACCTAGATCAGTTGTTCTCAACCTGTGGGTCCCCAGGTGTTTTGGCCCACAACTCCCAGAAATCCCAGCCAGTTTACCAGCTGTTAGGATTTTTGGGAGTTGAAAGCCAAAATATCTGGGAACCACAGGTTGAGAACCACTGATCTAGATGGTCATTGGGGGCCTCCTAAGGTCACTATATAGATCTAGATCAGTGGTTCTCAACCTGTGGGTCCCCAGGTGTTTTGGCCTACAACTCCCAGAAATCCCAGCCAGTTTACCAGCTGTTAGGATTTCTGGGAGTTGAAGGCCAAAACATGTGGGGACCCACAGGTTGAGAACCACTGATCTAGATGGTCATTGAGGGCTCTCTGAAGCTTTAGGTGCTCTTACTGCCTGTTACAGGGAAAACCAGTTTGCTCCATCAATTGTTAACGTTTACACAAATGACCAGCCACCGCCAGAAGGGACAAAGAGTTTCATCTATGCTGACAATCATGCCATCACCGCCCAAGCAGGGAGCTTTGAAATGGTTGAACAGAAGCTCTCCGAAGCTTTAGGTGCTCTTGCTGCCTATTACAGGGAAAATCAGCTGGTTCCTAATCCATCTAAAATATACACGTGTGCTTTTTATCTTAAAAACAGACAAGGATTTTGAGCTCTGAGGATTACCTGGGAAGGAATCCCACTGGGATTTGTGGAACATACATATGTACACTTTAATGTATAGAAAGATATAGCCCAGGAAATCAAGGAGGCAGTGAATTGTTTACCCCCCCAGCTTCTTTATCAAGAAATCTGGGTACCAAATATTGGCTGATAAATGTATTTCCAGGGTTGCAGAAAAAGACCCAATGTCTTGCTGACTTTACGAAACAAAAACTTCACCTCTTATGTGCAAAGATGTAATTTCCCCATAAACTAATAGTACAATCTAGAGATGAAACCGAAAAGAATCAAAGAGCTTTCTGAGCACTGCCTTGGCTAAACACAAACATTTGTTGATTTTTCCCCCCCACAAAGGTGGATGGACTGCAGAGCAGGAAGACGGCGAGCAAAAATCTACTTTTCAATAAAGCCATTCTATCAAAAAAATGAAATCGCTCCATTAACAAGAGCTAAATTATTTAAAGGGCCTCCTCCATCATCTGTCTCATCTTTTTGCTAAAGGTCTATTGATTGAAAATGACATTACAAAATTATAGCTTCGAAAGGAAGATTCCCTCTCCCCCCTTTCTCTCTCTCTTTCTCTTTCTCTCTCTTACGCAGAGACATACAGGTTGTCAGAGAAATCCACTGCTAGGTCTGCGGGGGAAATATTTCCAGCTCCGGAGCAGACTTCGGATAAATTAGATAATTTAGATCTGTCTTCAGGTATACCGCAGTTAACTAAGCCAATGTGTTCCTGGGAATGATTCTTTTACAGGAAACGCGGTATTTGGGGCAGAAAGAACATGGAAGGAATAGGGTTACGTTCCAGTACCATTCAACACCAATATGTTTTGGCAAACTTTTGAAAATCCAAAACGGCCTA